AAACATCTCAAATGAATTAAGCTTTTTTATCACAAGGTGGTAGCGTTCCTCACGCTTCCTCTTGGTTCCCTCATAGAGTGCACAAATATCCGACCATAGTGCATGGGCGTCTTTGTGATTCCGCACACGGTTAAAAACATCCTTGCAAAGCCCTCTAAAGAGGGTATTTCTAGCCTTTGCATTCAACTTTTCATAGTTAACCTCATCGCCTTGAAGGTTTATGGGATCCTAAGATTTTGAGAAGCCTTATGAGGCAGCTCTAAGAACTCCAACATCTAAAGCTTCTAGGTATGCCTCTATGCGAATTTTCCAATAAGGAAAATCATCTCTCTCAAAGATAGAAAGGGGTCCATCCCCATGGGACATCTTGCTCTAGGCAGTTAAGCCTAATTTAGGGAGCACGAGACTCTGATACCAATTGAAATGATCAAGATGCTCAAGAGGGGGTGACTTGGGCTAATTCTAAATTTTTGCAATAATTAAGCCCTACATTTAGCCTATTTCACCCCTTGTGTCTAAAATGTGTTTCTATTGTTCTTCCATATAAAAGTTTTGCATACTAGGTTTCAATCCTACTTTAGCATGGTAATTTTAGGAATGTAAAGAAATAAAATAAATTGCTCAAATATAAATGCTTAAAGTAAAGAGAGGGAAAGGAACACGGAGATGTTTTCCTAAGGTATCGGAGAGTCACCACTCCTCACTAGTCCTCGTTGGAGCACCCGCGCAAGGGTGTAGCTCCACCTTGATCCGCGTAAGGATCAAGTGTTCTATATGGGTTGATTCTTTAACACTCCGTCGCGGTGAATCGTCCACAACCGCTCACAAAGTGACTTGGGTCATCCACGAGCTTCGTCGGATGATCACAAAGCTCCCAATCACCACCGAGCCGTCTAGGTGATGGCGATCACCAAGAGTAATAAGCACAAACTCTCACTTGATCAAGACAAGCCTAATAAGTAAGGTGGATGCACACTTGCTACTCCCTATGCACTAATGAGGTCCTTAATCTTGGATTATCAAATCTCAATCACCCCACTAGGCTTTTGCTCTCGCTTGCACTCCAAAATTAATTCTCAACTGAATAAATGGGCAAGAGACCTCAAATGGACGAGTGGGATATGTATTTATACCCCTCCAATTCAAAGCATAACGGTTGAGGTCCAACTCAGCGAGTATCGGGATGACCGAACGCTCCGCTCCTAGGTGACCGGATGCACCGATCAGTATAATACGTCATTGTGTCAGAAAGAGCCGTTTGCTCTAACCGGACTCTGACCTGTGTCCGGTCAGCACCCACCAGACGCGTCCGATCATCAAAAACCCTCTCTAGAACCTTACTAATGTTGACCGGACGATGGCACCCAGAGTTCGGTCACTTCTCTGTTCAGCGTCTGGTCCGTGGTCAACAGCATGTCCACGCCGCTACAGATACGGCTAGCGTCGAGTCCGGTGAGCACTGGTGTCTAGCGTTCGGTCGCACTCTGATAATTGCAGCCGATCAAATAAACTGATCGGACTCTCCAAGTTGTATCCGGTCACAACCAAACCAGCGTCCGATTAGTCATTTGACTCTCCATTCACTTCCAATTCGAAATTCATTATGAATGAAGTTGACTTCTATCGATCTTAGGGCTATTCCTGAACTACCTAGTGCTAAGTTTGACAAGTGTGCACCACGCCTAATCCATTAGACTCACCTAGGTTAAGCTACTAGTTCATACCCTCTTAATAGTACAACTAAAGGAAAAATAAAAGTCCTAAACTATTCTAAGTGTCTCTCCAAAACCAAACGATATTCAGAACTAGTCCGTCATTAACCTTATCGTCCATCCTTTGAAAACCGAAATGATTTCCATCGACAAGGGCATGACAACCATGATTGCCCAAACAATTTCTATTATCATGACCTAACTCAATTTGCCTCTACAAAACACATGTTAGTCATAGTAATCTCGTATCGTCATTAATCACCGAAACCCAACTAGGGGCCTAGATGCTTTCACACTGCAATTTTATTTTTTGATAGCATTTGCAACTTTGCAAGATCCATATGTTCTAAGATCATTATTTTCAGTTAGTGATGATTGAATGCTTTTAGTTACTGATAACTGGATGTTCTTTGCTACTACCAGGGAAAATGAGGGAGCCATGGCGAGTTGTGTTTTGCTTCCAGCAAGGAAATTTTGATAAGTTCTGTTAGTATAATCTGCTGATGGTCACTTGTTCTTATGGCAGCCTAGGAATTCGCTTGTTCAATTCTGAAGGTTCCGATGGTTTAGCCTAGTAGTTACGATGACAGACTATGAATTCACTTTGTTCAGTTCACTAAAAATTCTACTTGTAACGTATGTTATATTTGATTTATGAAATATATTTATTACATTATATATACTCCCTCTATATTAAAAATGAAGTTGTTTTGGATAATGATTGGGTCAAACATCGGGAATATAAATCATGAATAGTTGTTGAGTTTGGAAATGTGAAAACCATATGTATAGAATGTCTTGAAAAATACTTTCACAAAATTTACATATATCATTTTTTGATAAATATCTTTATAAAAATAAGTAGTCAAAGTTATGTTTTAGAGACCGTGTCGTTGTCCAAAACGATTTCATTTTTTTTTAATATGGAGGGAGTATAATACATGATTTATTTTGAAGGATTTGTTTTGTATCAATTAGTAATATAATGGTATATAGAAATAATATTCATAATTGATCGTATCATGGTAAATGATTTATCATAGCATCACGTAGCAGCTGTCTTTGGATTGGACTGGCTGTCTATTTAACTGTTTGCGTTGTAAATTCAAAAACGTATAGACAGCAGCTGTCTCTGGTCGTACATGCCCTTTCAGATGTGGGTTCAGAGCCCAAAGCCGGGCTGTGCGCGGTTGACAAGCCTCGAGCTTATCTGCGGCTACACGTACTTCGCGTCAGTGGAAGCACGTTGGAGATCGCGACGAACGAACAGACGCATGGCACGGATCGCAAGGAACGATGTGTGCACTGCAGCCATCGACGAGCCGCGCGCACCACTCGTTGGCGAACGGCCGCCCCGGCTGCGGCGTCAAAACGCCGCCGCCGCCGTAGCCCGTGGGGCAAACCCGTCCAACCAAACACCGCACACCACCCCTCTCTACTGCCACGTGCACACCTCACGTCCGCGCGTATATATATATATATACACACACATACAAAATCCTCCCACGCCGCGTCGCACGCACATCTACCGGTCCCCCCTCTCTCTCCGCGCCGCACAGGGTGTCCCGCCCCCGGCCCTGCCGGTGCCGGCCAGCCGCCATGAGGAAGCCGACGACGAGGAGCGGCCTCAACAAAGGCAGCTGCGGTAATAGTAAGGCGGCCACGCTACCGGCGAAGCAGAAGGTCGTGTCCGGCCACCGTGGCGTCGTCGTCGACGCGTTTGACTGCCTCCCCGACGACCTCGTGCTCGCCGTGCTAGCCGGGCTCGCGGCGCGCGCCGGGTGCCCCGCCGACCTCGCTGCGGCGGCGCTACCGTGAGTAGCTACCATAGCATGTCTCTGCTCCGTTCCTCCGTCCGTTGCTGATTCTACCCCGCCGTCGCCTTTGGCTCGTCCCTGTGCTGAGTCTTCTCCTGTGTTGGCCGGCATGCAGGTGCAGGAGGTTCCGGGATCTCGCGGCGCACCCTGCCGTGCTGTCGCGTGCATCGGCGGCGGCCGTCGCCGTGCCTGCGGGGAGATGGTCGGATTCGGCGCACCGGTTCTTGCGGCGGTGCGCGGCCGCCGGCAACCTCCACGCCTGCTACTTCCTCGGCATGGTAACGAACAGCGACCTCTGCTCTCTCCTGCTTCTTGGAACGAATCCATTCATTCCTTTGTTTCCTGAGTGACTGAGTCGTGGCTTGTTGATGATGCCTTGCCAGGTGCGGTTCTACTGCATCGGGAGCAGGGCGACGGGGGCGGCGCTACTGGCGCGAGCGGCGGCGGGCGGGCACGCGGCGGCGCTGTACGCGCTCGCCGTGGTGCAGTTCAACGGCAGCGGCGGCGACAAGGCGGACAAGGACCCGCGCGCGGGGGTGGCGCTGTGCGCGCGCGCCGCATGGCTCGGCCACGTCCCGGCGCTCCGCGAGCTCGGCCACTGCCTCCAGGACGGCTACGGCGCGCGCCGCGACGCCGCGGCCGGACGCCACTTCCTGCTCCACGCCGCCGCGCGCGAGCTCGTCTCATCCTCGCTGCACCGCCGACGAAACGGTGAAGAAGAAGAAGACGCTGCCAGTAGGTTCATGGTGGAGTGGTGGGCGCTGGCCGCCAAGACAGGAGGAGGAGAAGGCGACTGCAACGACGCCGACGTGCGCCTGTGCTCGCACCCGCGGTGCGGGCGGCGGGAGACGCGGCGGCAGGAGTTCCGGCGGTGCTCGGCGTGCTGGTCCGCTATCTACTGCTCGCGTGCGTGCCAGGCGCTGGACTGGAAACGCGTGCACCGTGCCCAGTGCGCGGCCGCTGCTAGCCGGTGGCCCGCCGCCGCCGGGAACGCGCAGTGAACGTACGTACGCCGGCCGGCTGGTCCACGCAACGCGAACGTCGCGCATGTACATAGCTTGTGAATAGTAGTAGTACTGGGTAGTGTGTGCCACTACATGATGCCATGTTGGTAGCTTTTAGTTCTTTCTTAAAGTGAGGTTAATTAAACTAGGTGCTTGCATTTCTTTGTAAATTTTGGATCAATCAGTTGTTAGGGATAATGATTAGAGTTGTTTGGGATTTTAGTTTAATGGTGGATTAGTGGTGGCCCAACAAATGTTAGCAGACGGTGATGCTAGTATGTTGTCTGTGCGAGTTAGGCAAGGCATGCCGTCGGCGTGGTGGTAGGGTATTCTTTCTGTCTGTCTGTCGTGTCTTCTCCCGTCACGCGGCTTTTGCTTTGTGAGTACTAGTACGTTGCGCGCGCAATGAATGCAATTCAGGATGGAGCGTAGTATTGTACGTCCTGATAATCTTTACCGAGATGAGCTCATTGATACTTAGGCCTGTAGCATGAAGACGGTACATATGTTTATATTACTTAGATAGGTCTGATAGGTGCGGTAATGGTTCATCTTAACCGCAGTTGTCCGGTTTGCAGGTCTTACAGAATAACTGGCAACATCTGATACCTTCATGCATCAGGGTGCAGGCTAAGTAGTACCGGTAGTACTGATGATTACACATATTTTATACACACAGCGACAGGCTAAAGTAATTATACATCGTAGGTGAAGTGCATAGATGGCCTAGCATAAGGTTGGAGTCACGGCCCGAACGCACAGCCAGAAGTTAATGGCCGCTGTATGTACATATGGTAAGCTGTTTATGCAGGCAAGGTAGTGACAGAACTAAACAAAAGCACAGGATCCCGTCGAGGCAAGTCTAGTTGGGACGGCTGTGGCGTCTGCCCAAAAGTAGCCGCATTACGAACCTGGGGACCCTGAAAACATAGAGACTGCAGTATCAACGATGGTGCCACCCTCTCATAGAGACGCAGCGTGCGGCGAAAAAAAAAAAGAGAAAGGACTGATGTGGTTGTAGGCACCTTGTTCATTTTTCCTGCTGATTGGAAGAGCTCCTACGGCCAGATGCCTTGCCCTGAAGCCTAACTTCTTTAGCACTGGATCTACAACTCATGAGAATTGGAGGGATATATGTCAGGATGACTCAGTAGGGAGTTAGTGTGTCAGCGAACCGTTCAATCATACAATCAGATGGAGGGCAATTTACCTCTTTGGCTGGTAGTCCGACGTTTCTTGAGAATGAGTGTTTCGTTTGCTTTTTTCTTTGTCCATGTCAGCAACGGCTGTCGATCCTTGAGGTATGTCCTCAGGAAGTTCAGCAGATTCTTCTCCGTCCTGCAGAACCCCCATGTCAGCTAGTTTTGTAACCAACATGACGAATCACACATAACAGGGATGAAAGTGCATATGAAAGCAAAGTGACATGGAGGGGTTCTTGTTTTTTTATAAGGGAAGATAAGAAACATGCTGTACAGTAACAGACGTGAACACGAATCAAGAGCCATGGTAATAGTAAGTCTGATTGCACTACAAAGCGAACATTTGGTAGAATAAGAGTTTGTATCTCTAGGTATAGGCTATGGAATGTATAGTACTTATTTGGGAGAAGATTCGTTGAGGCAATGTTGTAAGAACACTGCAGGTGGACGGTGCATATACCCAACTGTTCCATGTAAATCTATCAGAAGGAGTTCACCGCGTTGAGTGAATGCAGGACAACAACGAAAGACAAATTTGAGTGGTCTCAAGTTTCAATCAGGTAAGTAAGGCAAAGGAACCCTAGTTCATGTAATATGGATGAATCTGGCTATAAATGTGCGTGGTGGGTTGGCGCGATTATGTGTGCAGTAGAATAAGGTAAGAGAATTCTGAACTAAGAAGTAGAGTATTAACAGCATTAACTGACAGGTTTGCTTGGTCTTAGCTTTTTCAGGTACCTCGCACTCAAGATATTATGGAGACGATGAATCAGATATCAGGAAGGTACAGAGGATGAGCATGGGTAAAAAGAACCTGCTCGGCGGTACTCTGATCATCAAATAGCTTTCTCTTGACAGCTTTGGTCTTGTCCTGCGGTGGTGACCTGGATGGACTGCAAAGCATACAAGAGCAACATGAATGTATGTTAATAAAATGCAGGAACTCTGTGATGATGAGAGTCTCATGCACAGGTCTCAAAGGCATAAGGTCCTTACTCAGCAGGGTCACAATGGCCGGCCGTATCGTCTGGTTTATCCTGTGCAAATGAGCACGGAAGCAGGCGAAATCAGAAAATGCTATGTGCTGGTTGTAATAAAAACAGAAGGCATACGATGTCCACGACGAAGTACAAGGACTAAAATCATGCAGTGGAATATGAATGCAAAGTGTGTTTGCGCCTGTTACCTGAGCAGGTAAAGTAGTGTTAAGCAACTGCTCAACTGACAGCGGTGTACCGAGTGGATCAGATGCAGCTGTTGTTGCCTGTGTAGGAGTAGAGGCTACAGTTGATGCCGTTGGTGGTGTCAAGGTTGAGGTGGAAGGTGTTTGGGATGTGCTGCCTTCAGGCTTCAGCAGATGTTATCAGTAATGACCTTGGTGGAGCAGGAACAATGTTTACAAGTCGTCCGATTAATCGCGATTAATCGGTCTGGTCGGTACCCTGACCTCGATTAGAGACTTCGACTCGATTAGCTCGACTAGAAACCTGGTCGTCCGACTAGTCGACGACTAATCACGATTAGTCGTCCGACCAGAGGGCTGCACGACCAGGCTGGGCACTGCCTTCTTTGGGCTTGCCTGACTGGGCTTCCAGGTGAGTAGTTGGGCTGCCAATTTGGCCCACTAGGGTTTGTAATATATATACAAGAGGCTGCTGCTCTGCTCTTTCTCTCCTCTCCTGGCTGCTGCTGCTCTCCTCTCCTCTTCTCTCCTCTCCTGGCTGCTGCTGCTCTCTTCTCCTCTCCTGGCTGCTGCTGCTCTCCTCCTCCTCTCTCCTGGCTGCTGCTGCTGCTCTCTTCTCCTCTCCTGGCTGCTGCTGCTCTCCTCTCCTCTCCTAGCTGCTGCTGCTCTCCTCCTCTCCTCTCCTGGCTGCTGCTGCTCTCCTCTCCTCTCCTGGCTGCTGCTGCTCTCTTCTCCTCTCCTGGCTGCTGCTGCTCTGCTCTTGATGCTTGCTTTATTGTGTATACTATATAGTATATATAGGTATATATATAGTAGGTATATATATCCTGATATATAGGACGACCAGGGGTCGACTAGGTTCGACTAATCGTCCTGGTCGACGACTAATCGCGATTAGTCTTCTGGTCGGTCCCATGGCGACTAGGTTCGACCGGACGACTTGAAAGTCTTTGACCGTGCAGTGAAAACCACAAGCCTGTCAGAAAACAATCAGTTAGTTAGAGAGAGGGGTTTCCGTGTAACTATGAACAGATAGCTCACACCAGGCAGCATAGAAAGTACCGGGAAATCGTAAGGGTCAATCTCATTGAGCTCTTGAAGCGTCTTGTGCTCTATGACTATGGTTTCCTGTGTATCCGGTGATTCTTCAACAGGTGGAGCAGGTATGTCTATTGAGAACCGCTGACCTTGGAATCTAGTATTGCACAAGGGGAGGAGAACATGCTGAGTTAATGTAAGAGTATAAGTGTAGAACAGCATGTTGTGACGGTAGTATAAATAACCGAGATTAGTATAATAGAAGAGGATGCTTGGCATACCTAGTGTAGAATGGCTGAGCCTCTGCGATGGGAGGGTTGAAATACCAATGACAAGCATTATTTGCAGTAACATGAACAACCTCTGTTTTGTTTTGTTTCCGGTGCACAAGGCATATATTGGTACTGAGAAGGGACAGTAGATCATGAGATGAAGAGGGAAGGAGCTTACTCTGATATTCTTTAGGGACACATCCAACAAACAAAGTTACAATTGCTCTGGGATCAGCCTCATCATATAGGTTCTCGACGCTGAATGCTTTACCTCGCTGACCCCAAAGAGTGACCTTGAGCTCCCTGTCACTGAACATTTGAAGATAAGAAATCAGAGGTCTGAACGAGAAGACGATTATTAGAAATCGGAACTAATAATGGGAGGATGGGCTGAGGACAGTAACAATCGGGAAGCTGTATGACTTACTGGAGGTCTTTTATGATAATATCTGACATCAACAGAAGCAATGGTATGACCTTTAACCCAAACTCCGCAGCGAATAACGTGACAGGCGTAACTGTGAACGGAACAATCAATCAACTGCGAGAAACTTGACGAGAACAGCCAATACGGCTGGCCCCATGGAACCACAGACGCTCTGATGAACTTAGCCAGCTCCATGAGCACACGAAGCAAACAAACTGCGACCGGCTGAGTTACCACGATGCATAGGCTAAGAAAGAAACTGCAGCGTGGTAACAAACGGGGAAACCAATGTACAGAAGGCAATTATAAGCCTACACACACAAGCTGCAGGAAACATATGCACACGTGCAAAAAAACCAAGCTGATAACTAAATGTGAGTAAATTGGAGATACAATTACCGATATAGCACACCCGAGAGGAAGATGAGCTCCTGTGCTCATAAGCATCCAGGCGCTCGCAGCAGCAGAACTGAAAGCACAGAGACGGCAAGCAAAGGAATCAACATCGAGGAAGGAAAGGAATTGGAGACCCCAACAATGTGACGCCATACCAGCACGGCGACAAGAAATTACCTACAAAGTCGCTCCGCCGCGGTGACCTGTCCGCGTTGAACCTGTAAATAGAGGCAAAAATTAGGAGAACGTTGAATTCGTGCACGGACGCCAACCGGAAAAACCAGCAGGCGCAACGAAGAATGAAACGTAGACAATGAGGGAAACCGAACGCGGAACGACATAACGCGAAGCGCAACAACGACACAGCGGAAACACGGCAGGGAAGAAACGGCGAGGCCAGCGGCGGCACTGTAGCCCCAAACTCCAACAACAGGGCCGCGAGTACGGCAAGAGGAACGAACAAGATGGCAACTACAACGCAATGACAACGCAGCGAGGAAGGAAAACCGAACGGCGAAATTCGGTCAAAAAAAACAACCGAACGGCGAAGAGAAGGCGACAGGCAGGAAAGAACCGGAGAAAACACGGCCGCCACAAGCCGGGGAGGCGGGGAGTGACACTGTAGCACGGAACCCTAGCCGAGGCGGGAAGACGGGGAGGGGAAGAAGCGGGCCGGCCGCTAGCACGAGACGGAGAAGGACGCGAAGGGAAACGGCAAAACGCTGACTTGGAAAGAAGGCGGCGGCAGCGGACGACGAAGCCGAGGACGACGAAGCAAGCAGGAACGACCGCGAAACAGGCAAAATCAAAAAGGCAAAGGGAGAATACGGGGACGGCAGCTTACCAAGATAGCTGAAGGCAACAAGAAGGGGGCCCGTGGCGAGGTCAACGACGGCGACGGCGATGAAGACGGAGCGCACGAGGAAAGGGCCGAGACGCGAAAGAGGAGCGAGGGCGAGCGAGGTGAGGCGGCGTGCGGCGGTCCAATCCCAGGCAAGCACGTCCGTACGGAACAGCGAATCACGTACAGGAAGTGCATTAGCAAATCAAGGGCCACGCGGTAAAAAATCAACGGCAAAGTACAAAACCAGACGGACTCGGTTAATTTTGCTATCGTGGCTACGGTGAGAATCGGCCGAGGCCTCCGGCCTTAAAGATAATAAATAAATAAATAATATAAATATATAATATATAATATATATAATAAAGATAAAGATAATATATATACATATATAATATATATATTATATGTATTATATTATATATATATATATATATGTTGTTGCCTATACTCCAATAATCAGCTGAAAATACAAGGATCCATGCTCAGCAAGAGACTTTGAACCTAAATGATTACGGCAGTGCCTGGACATCCCGACAGACCCGTGTCAGACGTCCGCGCATGTTGCAATGCTCGCGCTAGCGCTTGCTGCATGCACAGGAGCCGGCCCGTGCCACTCCCCCACGCTTCCCTGCTTCCCGCGCCCTTTACACCTGCTGCGCCGCTTCCCTCCATGCATGGCACCCAGCAGCTGCCAGCCACATGCACAACACCCCAATCTAGTTTTGAAACATCCAAAAGGAAACAATTGCAACATACGTACGAAACAGTCGAAACATTGGACGCCTGAACACATGCAAAAACACTTGAAAAATAATTGTAAACATATACAACATCCAGATAAAACACTTGCAATATATGTGTGAAACATATGCAACATCCAGATAAACACACTTGCAACATAAGTCTGAAAAAAAAACAGATGAAACATTGGGAACAGATACTTGCAACATACGTGTGCAATTATTGCAACATATACAACATCCCGATCTACTTTTGCAACATCCGCATAAAGCACTTGAAACATACCTACGAAACATTTGAAACACTTGAAACATGCGCTGGCAACATGGAGAGCCCGGGGCCCGGCGATTCTAGCCGTCAGGGTCAGAGACGGCGCCGCGCGAGCATCACCACCACCATCGCTAGTAGCACCGGGCTTCGCTCGACCAGCGGGCGGCGCCCGCCCGACGGCGCAGGATGGGAAAGCTCGACGGGCTGGAGCGAGCGGCGCGAGATGTGCGCGCGGCAAAAGCGAGGCGGAGTGGGCACGCGGCGGCCGGACAGGAAGGCTGCGTCTGGAGAAGGCCGCCACGTTGGAGAAGGCCGATGGCGGGGGTTGGCGCGGTGGATGCGCCCGCGGCGGTCCCATGCATGGGATTGTCGTTGTGTGTTTTTATTTTTTTTTGGAGAAATCACATCATACTGAAGGTGGAGCGGAGGAGGCCGGTTGGCTGATCGTTGGGCTGGCCCGGAGACGAGCCGTCCGAACAGAACACGCCTGGACGGACGCCCATGTGCCAGCATTATCAAAATGATTAGCACACAAAGTGCTTCACCATGCTACTCCTGTTTCAAAATATAAAGCGCGCATGTATTTCAAAATTCAAACTTGATAACGTTTAACTAATCGTTAGCTAGTCTAATCACATGAAAAATATGTGCCACAAAGTAGTTGTGTTATATATGTATTTTTGAAATACTCTCTATTATTTTTGTTGCAAATATAAAGCATAACTCCGCTGGTTAGCTTCATTTGTATGGGTGGTATTTTACTGGGTTTATTTTATAATTTAACAGTGCTATTCTTTCGATGGTATGTGATGTGTCTATGGACCTCAACAACACGCCTGCGGTGACTTTATTAATTTCAAAATCAGCAAGCTTACTGTTTCAGATGTACTCATAGAAGTACGGTGCATTGGTGCGTATGTGTAAATTCATAGCGATGAGTTGTGCACGCAATTATATGAGTACATATGACTGTACTATAATTCAACGAACGGTGTCGTGCAACTCTAATGAACATGCTGAGTTGTTTGGTTTGTAGCCATAAGTATACCACAACTAATGTTAGACAAATATGGCAAGTCATAAAAAATGTGATTAGAGGAAAAACACAAATATCGCAAGAGGTAATTCTACGATCTCGCCACCAAGATTTCTAATTATATATGATGCCTCCAATATGGCTCTCGTAAAAGTGCCAATTGACAAGGGTAGTTGGTCAGTTTGGCACGTTCCTGAATCGTGCATTCATAATTTCTGAGTTGATATGTCTTGGATACGCGCATTCATAATGCTACTAGACAAATTTCTGAGTTGACGGTGTGTATTACTAAAATGTCACGTTTCTCCGATGTCCTTTGAGCAAAACTTGCCTTCAGGAAAAGTAATTTTATGATCAATAAGCTGGCATCTAACTAGGCCTAGTTAATTAGACCCTAATGTCTTGAAAAATAGGTCGCAAGGACCACATCCGCATGATGTCCCATTTTACACTTATATATATGCTAATCACTGTGTGTTAGCTTTTCCTTGGATATCACTAACACTTCATAATCACTAAAAGATGGCTGAGTTTAAAACAGGATTTTTCCTATAACTGGATGTCATCATATAATAAAAAAGAAGAGGAATTAACAGGATTTTTTTTCCAAACACAAGTAGAGCAGCTAGCAACATATATACAAGAAGCAGGAAGTAGGGAAAATGTAGTGATCAAATTAAAACTAAAACGTTCTGACAAGGCAGGTACACATAGTATATATCAGAGTAGTGCAAACTACACTCGTGTCTAGCCACCTAGCTATAGGCCGGGCACAGATACATCACATCACATCACATACATACAATAATCATGATTATACAAACAACACTGAACGAGTAGTAGGCAAACACAAGGGTTAATTTACACCGGTGCATCTTCCTTCAATCCTTCTTCTTTATATAGTTTGCCAGCTGAATTGAAAGTTTGAAAACCCTTCTGGGACAACAGTGGCCACAGCACCGAAGGAGCTCATCATCATCACAGTCGTCGTCCATCAAGCAGCAGCAGGTCCTCCGCGACGACGAGGAACCGCGCGGCAGACGAGGGGCTTCTTCATCTCCATGGACAGGCGGAGGCACTCGGCGAGCTTGACGGGCTTATTGGCCGGCGGTGGCAGCCACCTGTACTCCTGCAGGAAACGTCCCAGCCAGAGCTGCGCGGTGGCGAGGCCCATCATGCGGCCAGGGCACACCCTGCGGCCGGACCCGAACGGCGCCAGCGTGAGGTCGGACCCCAGCACGCGAACCTCTCCGGCCGGAACACCCAGGGGTCTCCCCAGATGGCCTCGTCGTGCGAGATGGCCCACACGTTCACCATGGCCGTCGTCCCCGCCGGCACCACGTGCTTGCCCACCTGCGCGTCCTGCACCGCCAGGCGCGCCCAGGAGAGGAGCGGGCCCGGCGGGTGCATCCGGAGCGTCTCCTTGAGGATCCATTGGAGGAGGGGAAGGTTGGGGACGTCGGAGTCGGTGACGGGACGACGGAGGCCCACCGCTGCGTCCATCTCCTCGTGGGCCTTGGATTGGATGTCTGGGTGCAGCGACATGCGGGCCATGGCCCACTCCAGGAGTATCGCCACGACGTCCACGCCACGGAAGATCATCTCCTGCATATGCATTTGCAAGACGGACGTATTAAACTAGCTAGTTCTCATGCTCATAGTGAAACAAAAATAATTAAATACCTATATAATGGTATTATTATATAGCACTGTTATGCGTGCGTGTTGAGCGTCTGCGTCTGTACTTTGTGTAATTCATAAAAAAAAAACATAGGAAAAGTTCATACAGACTACTACTCATCAAAAGTGTTTTTTAAAGATCACTAGTGATTATGCAGTGTACATGATAGACATTAACAGCACTAATATCCAGCAGGTCATGTTTTAATCTTAACTTGAATGAGTTACTCTTCTCATGATGATAATGATGAGTTTTTTTTTCTTAAAAGCAACTGACAAGCCAGGCATATATTAATTGGAGAAGACATAAGTTTTTCCATTAAGCTACTAATGTAGTCGTTGAAAATGGATCGATTTGATTGACAATTGTGCGGCCACAAGGCCTTAAAGATCGAAAAGGAATTGACCCTACTGCAGTGCAACATCTTGTGAAAACAAAACTCAGCTAATAAAGTTATTCTTCAGGTTCGTTCGCCTCTGGTTTATATATCTACAATATATGTTCGATATAATGGGATGAATGTGCACATGGGACGTTATTGGTGATGAGATCATCAAAGCGTCATGTACCAAAATTTGCAGTCACTATATCACAACAAATCATATGATTTAACTACTACTCCCTCCATTCCATATTGTAAGATGTGTTGTTTTTTTCAGATATGCTATACACTTAGATATACACTATGTCTAGATATATGGTAAAAAAATATATCTAGAAAAAGGAAAACATTTTACAATTTGGGACAAAGCAAGTAGATCGGAATCTAGTTTTATATAAATAAAAACGCTTTCATCACCTTACATGCATAATGCCCATCATGGAGAAACAATTTGACTTTTAGAACAAAAGGCATAGTTAGGAAATTGTTTATTATCTCCAGAAAATTAGGGTTACGGAGTTGCACTTCCATATATAAACTAAAAATTATGCATACAAAATAATGTAAATAAGGATTTTATTTGCCTAGCATAAATCATTCATTTTCAAATAAAAAATAGAAGGGCCATGGTATTATTTCCTAATTAAGATGCATATATATTTTTGCATCCACTTATTATCACCGCTTTTATTTGTATGTCCCTGATGATATGCACCTATCAAACAAGCATGTTACACCACTCAAAAGTATTCCACCAACAAATATAACAAGCGTGTACCCCAGTGTATCACTTTTTGCCACAAAAGCGCAGGCGCATGAGATGAAAACATATAGAGCCCACTTACCCGGCCCATAGCACAGCAATCACATCAGAGTCCTCCAACTTCTCCTCCTCTGGCAATGAAAACATGTAGCTGAGCAGGTCGTCCCTATCGTGGCAGTCCCCTGCCACCCTCCTCTCCTCAATGATCTTCCCAAAATACCCTCTAACCCTAGCAGCCAACCCCCCGCACAGGGGCCCCAGCCCCCAGAGGTCCACCAGCAGGCCCCATGGTGTCTTGTAGTAGTGGTCTCCTAGGTTGAACGTGCCCACGAGCTCATACCCTTCCCTCACCATCTCACCTAGCTCCTCACTAACAGCGGCACCCTCGAGGCCCACACGCTGCCCGCCATGCTCTCTAGGGAGGCTCTCTGGAGCAAGGCTCTCATGGCCACCTCCCCGGACCTCTCCATCTGGTCGGCGACGCGCCTGACCATGTCATCGGCGACGCGGCAGCGGAGGCCCTCAAGTGCGGCCATGCGGTGCGGGGAGAGCATGCCGACGCCCCGTTGGAGAGGTCCCGTGCCGCGGCCTTGGGCGGGCGGTCCACGAAGGCGGCGCCAGACAGGATCTCCCGCGCCGTGTCCGGGTGGCTGCTGATCACCACATGGGTGGCGCCAAGGGTGAGCGACATGAGGCGGCGCGCGCCGTGCGCATCGGCCAGCGCGGCCAGGCGGCGATGCATGAGTGGGCCAGACATGGCTGGCAGCGCTGCCGGCCCTAAGTTTTCAAGGGCCCTAAGGCGAACTCATTATGATGGGCCCTCAAGACTATGTATATGTTTGTTTAGTATAGATATACACGTATATCTAATTTCACTTGCAAAACAAAAACAAATATAATGATATATTCTCAATTTTTATGGGAATATATTCTCAGTTTAAACTATTTAATAATGATCGATAACAACACTATTATAAACTGATCATATCCGTCATATCTATTGCCTGGATAGTCCTGAATGCCTAGCTGTTGCTGTCATGCTGCACGACGATTGAGAATTGAATCTTGGCGTCACATGCTAGTGCTGATCCCTGAATCTGATGGCCGATGCCCGATGGCCATGGCCAGCTGCTGGTCAGGATGCCAAGCTCCTGCTCGCTTGTTGCACGCCAGCACAGCTCGGCTGATGCCTGCATCGCGAGGGGCCATGGTGAATCGGCGATCGAGTAGTTGGCGCGGGCGGCGCATGCTGTCACTGCATGAGGCAACTGAATCACCAAAGCACACGAGGCCAGGCCAGGAGCAGTGACGTGAGGATGAGTCGATGGATCAAGGATGCGCGGACGTTTCGTCATCGTACTGCTTAGGCCTTCTTCTCGTCACTCCTTCGGGAGGCCTACAGCTAATGGTCTATGGGGGATTGCATACCTAGGTTTGGCCCCTGTCTGGGCTGCCCCCCCAGCGGTCGCACCCCTCGCCCCTCCCCTAGGGCCGGCCCTGCCTACCAGCGGCCACCCTCGTGGCCCCGGGATGATGGCGGCAGCTCCGACAATCCTACGTGTATGGCGGGTGGTGGTGACCATGAACGGCACTGTGACCGCCGCCACAGCCAGGGAGAGTGACAGGAGAGAGAAGAGCCATGAGGGTTGTGTGTTAGGGCTGATGGTGGTAGCGAAATGCACGAAGAAGACCAAGGCGATCATGGTGGTGATTACTTCAGTCTTCATGGCTATATGTACAGTTAACCTAAGTACATACGTAAACTCTCTTTTTTTCTTTTGGTGTGTGTGTGAACTATGTGTGTAGTGATTAGTGACTAGTGCATAGCAGGCACTATTATGGTTGGTGATGCAATTGCTACTTAGATGGCTAGATGAGAACACAAGAAGAGATGTGTTGAGCTAGTTGGTTGCTTGGATTATTAGTTGGAAGAAGTGGGCACGAGGAGCATTGTTGGTGACAAAGGGGTCCATTTATAGTGATGGAGGAGGCTTGTGGTTGGCTGGGAGAAAGTTTGTGAATTTTTGCTAGCTTGTAGTGCTTTCTCCTTTATTTAATTATAGTGTTCATTTTGTAGTGGCTACCAATAGGCATGCATGCATGTACTGGCTGGTAGCCTCTAAAGCTGCTGCTATTGGGTGTCTAGTGTTGAATGGCAGGTAGAAGTCGTACAAAGACATGTCCTGCTTAGTCTTTGGACCGAACAAAAAATAGAAAAAAGGGAAAGAACAAGTACCCCCGGCCCTCCCATTCAAAATACGCATCATTTAGGACATCAACCTGGTTTAGAAAAGTGAAATTTTGGCCTCAATTTCTATGAGAACATGAATATCAAAGAAAGGTAATTAAGTATTTTAAATATTTTTTTATAGTAAACCCAATTAATATCTGGCTCTATTGTAAATCTATGTTTTTTTGATATATTGATAGTCTAAGATTATAAAGTTTGATTAACAGAAATGCAAAAACAACATGTAATTTGAATAGTAGAGTATAAGAGACAACTCATTAGATGTTATTTTTTAGATTCTATGGTAAATATTGTTGCAAATATATTGAAGACAATACATGGCCCTGCTTTGTCTTGAACAGATAAAATCATTATTAAATGATGACTTCAAAGTCAATCTTTGTAATTAGAATATAGTATCATTTTCCTTATGAATTACCCAAGACTAGGTCGATATATATTTTGAGATTGATGAAGTCATCAAAGATGATATGCTATCCCAATGGGCAAGTCATCATACCACTGCAAGAATAATATATAGCTGAAGCAAGTATCCATGCTAATAAATTGAAGGTCAAAATCAGGTGGGAAGCACTACGTGAAAAACGATTTGTAGCAACGGGACAATTTTTTTGTAGAGGCGGCTGGTGATGGAGCCACCCCTACAGTGGCATGCTCGGGACCCACGAGACCAGCCGCCCCTACAAATGAAACAGTAGGGGCGGCTGGTGATACGAGCCGCCCCTACAAATGGGTCGGATTTGTAGGGGCGGCTCACTCACCAGCCGCCCCCGGTGTTGCTATTTGTAGGGGCGGCTGGTGATTGAGCCGCCCCTACAAATGCTCCGAGTATAAATACCTGCGATTTGTAGGGGCGGCTCAATCACCAGTCGCCCCTACAAATGACCCACATATAAAAAAACTATAGCACCTTCTTCCTCCTCGGGTCACTCAGTTCAACCCGTGAAAGAAAGGTGGGGAGGCCTTGGGCACCTCCCAAAAATTGCTCTACTAAGGGGGAAGGTTTTGGTCTCAAATCCTTTGGTGGAGAGGTTGTAGAAGGTAAAAAAATATTATTCCACACTTTTTTTTTGAAGTTTTAATGGTTGGTTAGTGAGTAATTAGAGTTTTGCTTTTCTCTCTCTTCTATGGTGCTTGAGCTACTTATGAAGTAAATTAAACCCAAGTTTTGAATGTATTAGGGTAAATTAGGTAGGGGAACAAGATCACACCCTTATTTGGTTCATGTTTCTTGATTTTAGTGAACAATTAATTAGTTTTATGGATGTTTCATGTGCATGTAGATCTAGATCTAGGGTTTGGTTTTTTTATTAATTTTGTTTTTGTAAATTTATGTTTGATGAAATTGGACTAGGGTTTGCATGAAAGATATTGGGTAAAATATAATTATTGCTAATTGTTGTCTTTGAAATTATTTATTGTAATCAACAAATATGTATTTTAATTATTTATGGATAAATGGGTCATTAATTAATTTTCCTCTACCATGGTGTGTTTGTATGCTTCATGTAATTATATTTGATTTATATTCATATATATCTGAAGTACATATAATTATTCTCAAGTAATTATTAATTTGATTCATTTATATATATATATAGGAATAAGTAGTCATTTAATGTTTGTTTTGTTGTTGTTGTTGTAAAAGATGGAGTATAGAAACTCTCGGATGTATGGTTCGTTAAGGTTCAAGGCAGGTTTCTATGAAGAGGTGGATAAATTTATTGAAGCCGCAAAGAAGAATGCAACGACATTGACAGAAAATAAGGATACAATTATTTGTCCTTGTAAAGATTGCAAGAACCGTATGACATGGATAGATATGACTATCATCAGATCACATTTGATTATACGAGGATTTGTTGAGGACTACACAGTGTGGATTCATCATGGTGAAATGGTTATTGTTAACGATGAGGATGAGTAGGAATACGATGACAAAATCCTAGAATCCCTGTCTCAATATTCAGTAGAGCTTGATGCACAAATGGATCCCGAGTTTGGCAATGAACAAGGTGGTGATGCTAGTGGTTGGGATGGTAACGACGAAGGTGGTGCCAATAATGATGGTGGAGCACGTGTCGGGGATGAAGATGATTTGGAGGACATGATTTGAGCCCTTGGACCAGAGATTTTACTAAAGAGCCCGAAAGGTCTAGAAAATTTAGAAAGGGTGACAAAAGCATCGAAGGAGACTGTGTATGGTGTTGAAAAGGGCTGTCTGACACATTGGACATTGCTACATTTTGTGCTTGAGCTACTCATCCTGAAGGCTAAGTACGGCTGGTCAGACTGTAGTTTCAATGAGCTATTGCGTCTCCTGTCATGGGTGCTGCCACAACCAAACTCAGTTCCCGCCAACACATACCAAGCGAAGAAGGTCATAAGTTCATTGACAATGGGGGTTGAAAAAAATCCATGCATACCCCAACCACTGTATACTTTTTCGTGGCAAAACGTTCAAGTCACTGGATAAATATCCCCTGTGTGGGGCCAGCCGGTACAAGAACAATGACCTTTACGGTGGGGACGAAGGTTCCACGGGGAAAAAGAGGAATAAGAAGGATACAAAAAAGATGGTACAAGAATCTCAGCCCTAGAGGACACTCCATTAGGCAACGATGCAAAGCAGAGAAGAATTCCCGCCTTGGTAATGTGGTACCTGCCAGTGACCGACTGCTTGAGACATATCTTCCTAAACCCTAAAGAAGCCACACTCATGACATGGTGGGATGATTAGCACAAGGTGGATGGTGATAAGATTGCATACCCGGCTGATTGTAGTCAGTGGCAAAGGTTCGATGTGAAGCACAAAGAATTCAGCGATGACCCAAGGAATATACGGTTTGGCTTGAGCACCGATGGAATGAATCCCTTCAATGAGAGGATGAGTGAACATAGCACTTGGCCAGTGATCTTGACCATGTACAACATCCCAACGTGGTTGTGTTAGAAAAGAAAGTACCTTCTCCTCACTATTCTTATTTCTGGCCCTAAACAACCAGGCATTGATATAGACGTGTTTCTCGAGCCTTTGATGCAAGAAATGGAGAGGCTATGGAGGCATGGGGAGCCGATGTACGATGTGTTCCGAAAGGAGGACTTCATATATAAAGCAATAATATTTGTTACTACCAATGATTACCTCGCACTATTTGCTTTGTCTGGACAGTTCAAAGGGAAGACATGATGCTTGGTTTGCTTGGATGGTACTACATGGGTGTACCTGGATGCATCCAAGAAGATAGTTTACCTAAGGAACCGATGCTTCTTAAAGACAAGTCACAAGTACCGTAGCAAATTGTTCTTTAGATTTTATGACAACACCCCAGAGATTGAACCCCCTCCAGAGAGACGTCATAACGGAGAACACGTGTACAGAATGGTGAAAAACATACGCGTCGTCTATGGAAAGAAGAATCTAGATGGGACGAACAGAGATAGAAGCACACCTCCTGTCGAATGCGTACCTTTCAAGAAACAATCGATCTTCTTTCAATATCTGCCTTATTGGCCAGACTTGGAGGTCCCCCATGCCATTGATGCTATGCACGTGCAGAAGAATATCTTTGAGAGTCTCATTGCTACCTTGATGGACACAGGCAAGCCAAAGGATGGTCTGAAATCACAGAAAGACATGGTGCAGCTAAACGTGATGCCATAACTTCACTCGGTACCTGAGGCTAATGAAAAATATACTCTACCTATGGCATGCTTCAACCTAACACCAGAAGAGAAGAGAGCTATATGCACTTTCCTAAGGGGGGTCAAAGTTTCGACTGAGTTTTCAGCGAATGTGAAGAAGCTAGTGTCGATGAAGGACTTGTCAATAACACACTGCAAGGCTCACGATTGTCATATGATGCTGACAGTGTTTCTACCTATTGCAATCAGGGCTATAAAGCCAGTGTTCTTGAAAATGGCCATCACCCGCATGTGCTACTTCTTTTCGAAGATCTCACAGAAGATGATTAGCAAGCAAGAGCTGAGTGACCAACATGAATTTGTGGCGGAGACACAAAACCAACTAGAGATGTGTTTACCTCCTGCTTTTTTTAATATAATGCCACATCTCATGATTCACATGGTTCATCAGATACAGTCGCTGGGCCCTTGCTACTTGCATGAAATGTGGTCCTACGAGCGGTTAATGTCAGTTCTAAGTCGATATGTGCATAATCGAGCATATCCAGAGGGCTCTATGATAGAGGGTTACAGTACTGAAGAAGTCGTCAAGTGTTGTCAAGAGTACCTAAAAGTACAGAAAGAGATTGGTAAACCCAATTCTCATCACAAGGGTAGGCTGGCTGGGAAGGGCACCAGTGGTAGAAAAGTGTTCATCGACCATGATTACAAAGAGGTGAGTCAGGTGCATTACAGTGTCTTGCAGAGTACACAACTGATGCAAACTGTACATTGATGAACACTTGGCTATCATTATGGCTGAGAGAAATGGTCGTTCAGATAATTGGGTCA